TACCTACCCTTTTAACCACATTATACTAATAAGAACAATATAAAGGATTTGAAAGATGGAGAACACCAGGATTGAATATTTACCTATAATAGTTCGGAGAAAAGATTTGGTTTCATATTTGGTAATGTTTAGGTGCATTGGACATAGAAATTACTTTTGATTATAATTGATAATGCTATCGGTATTAAATTTGAGAGCCAAAAGGCAAGCGAATGCAATATAGTTTTCGACCAAAGCTTTAGAAAGAAAAATTTAATATCTTTTAACAAGTAAAAGTTGTTTATTGTTGTTAAAAATAGAACTTACAGTAAATAATCCTGTCATTAATACTAACATGAGTATGGAAATCCAAAAATTTACGTTTGTTGTATATATATTAAATTCAGGATATATATTTAATTTAGAAGTATTCATATCGATATGTAAAAAGCAAATTTGATATACTAGAAAATTCAGCTCCCCAATAAACAAAAATAGAAAAAATAGAAAATAGACATAACCAGAGGTCATCGTAAAAGCCATTTTATGAAAAAAAAAAAAACGAAGCTTGAAGTATACACTTATTCGTCAAAATGACTACGATCATAATCATCGACAAAAACAGGAGTTTTCCTGCTACACGCATATTAGTCCTGTCCCGTTCCGATCATAACACAGAAGTAGCCCACTTTGCATTCAATGCATCATCAAAGATGTTTCTCTCTGATGCAATTTTTTATGGCAAGACTACTGAGCCTTGCTGGTTCAAAAGTATCCGCATTGTGATTGCACTCGGATTAGCAATTGCGATTTTATTTTATGCGTTTAATCAAGTCGCTAGTATGCTAAATTATTATCAACTTGACTTAGTAATAGTAGAAAAAAAAACCTTCGTTCCATTAATGCCAAGTATGAGCAGTTGACTTTTTGTATATAGCATTACAATCTCAACACCAATTTAACTATTATAAATAAACCAACAGATGTCTATCTCTGTGCTAATTTGCAGTTCACCAAATATAAATGCGATTCTTCCGAGTCTTATTTTAATGCGTCTCAACCCTGTGAAGAAATCTCATCAGGCAACTGCAAAGGGTTTCGATTCAAAGCCAAATTCGATGAGAATTTTGTTATCGCCTTAATGAGTTTTGATATCACCTTAGCGCCTACGTCATCTACAGCCAATGTTTCTTTTAACCTATCTGAATACTTGGATCCAGCTGAATACTTCAATTTTTCATCATATGAATACATTCCATCACCAAACCTTTCCAGAATTGGCATTTCAGATCACCAGTTATACGTCAAGTTTGA